GTGGTAGTAAGCACCAAACTTGTCTTACTCGTCTTCACTTGAAAGGCGTTACTGAGCTGCTTTCCATTGTGAATCACTTGATATTTAGCATCATATAGCATATAGCTGATGTTGAATGAGGTTGATAAAGGTGGTTTGTGGCACTCAAACAGTAGTGTTGAAGTAACAGCTGTTAAATGACTTCTCGGTCGATGCTGTCGAATGGCTTTTCAAGTTCTATGAAGTTGAGGTTGAGAGTTGATTACCATTCTATGGTCTGTTCTATGATGATGCATAGTGTAGCGTTGTAATTTGATGCGCACATGCTTTGTTCTTCCTGACTCCAGCCAGCCAGCCAGTTCGGGTCGTAATTTAGAATCGAGTGCATTTCTTACTATCTCCAGGATGATGCAGCCTAATATTTTGCTTGGGGTGGACAGCAGCATGATTCCACTCCAGTTCTCGCAAAGACTTAGATCTCCGTTCCTTGGGAGTTTGATAAGGTAGCCCTTCTTCGAATCAATAGCCTGGTACCTTTACTTCCTTCCTCCCAAACCATCTGCAATAGTGGTGTGAGCATGTCCGCTGTTATCTCTGTGTGTGCTTTCAGTGCTTATGGAGGAATTCCATCTGGTCCCACTGTTTTCCCAACTTTCAGCAAGTTTACGGCGTTAGTGACTTGATTTCTGCTTTTGTCGGAGGACTTGTGTTCACTGGTAATTCTGTGACTGGTCTGCTGGTGATATTTGTGGACGAGTTGGAGGTGTTGGTGGTGGTCGATTCAAGAGTATTTTGAAGTTGTCAGTCCATTGTTTCCTTTATTTCTCCTGTTTGGTGACCAGGTTTCCTTCCTTATCTTCCATTGTTTTCATCTGTGTTGATCTCTCCCCAGATCGATAGTAAGCTGGTTATTTGATATAATGTTGTCAGGTCTCCGTCTCTCCTACTTGCAGCAGTCTGTTCTACTTCATCACATACAAGTGTGTGGTATAAGTGTCATTTGTCTTTCTGAGCACTCTTCTTCACTTCTATGTGCAGCGTTTTAGAGACTGTATTCAGTTCCTCCTTTCGTTGTTCATCCCTGCACTGTACTGTACTGCACTGCACAACACTTCACTAGTTCATCTTCTGCTTCACCAACCTCCTCTCCCTCCTCTATCAGCTTCCATGTGTCTGTAGAGATCCACTGCTTGTCTTGCGGCTTCTTCTTCTCCTTCTTCTTCTTCTTCCTAACATGATTATGCAGGTTTCCTTCCATGTTTCTTCCAAAGAGTTCCAGTGTTCTTCCACTCAGGTTTCTTCAGGGATGTTGCTCAGTATCTCGCATTGTTTCCTGATGGTTGACTGACGTGAAGATGTCGTTTTAGTTTCGTCATTCAGTTCAGTTCGTGTTCTGTTCTGTTCTGTTCTGGGGTGTTCAACTTGAACTGTGGTTTATCACCAGCTTCTGTGAAGGCTTTCAATTGATTTTGAAGGTAGGTTGCTTGCACTAGATAGTGGTGTGAGTGGTGTCGACCTACATCTACTCGCCTTCTTCATCTGATCTGATCTGATCTGATTTTGTGTCGAGTGGGCTGGCTGAGTATCCACTTTCTTCCCATTTCCCATTTAGATGAAGTCGATGTGATTTTTAGATAGTGTGTGATGGTGTCTGGTGAAATCAAATCCATGTGGGTGCCTTGTGAATATCCTTGTATTTGTACACACTGCCTTACCTCCAATCACCAAATGATTAGATGTGCAGAAGTCTGCAAACAGTTCTTCATTCTCATTCATCATTTCACCGAGTGCTTCTCTACCAGTGATGGATGAGTTCTCTTCGTGTGTTGTCTACTCATAGTTTGGCATTGATTTCACCGCAGTTATTAGAATTTTGTTGCGGCCAACTGGAGTTGGGTATTGTCGATGATTGATTGTAGTTGTTGTAGAATTCCTGCTTCTCCTGTTGGTCTGGATTATTTGTAGATGCGTGGTTTAGCGTAGCATTGTATGATTGTGACTTTCCTTCTTCGTTCCTTCCTTTTGATTTGAATCCATCTTAGTGTCATGATGGTGATCCTGCATGAGGAAGAGGAGGAGGAGGAGGTGAATGAGATTGGTTGCCACTGCATGGGGGAGAGCCTTCGATGCTGTTTGTATTGGGACAATATGATAGCCACTGCGTAAGTGAGTGTGCTCGTGGCTGTGGTCTGGGTGACAATATGGGAGTAGATTATTGACTGTCCAGTTGACAGTTTGGGAGTCCATTTCCATTCTATCTGCAGATTCCTAGCACTTGTATACTGTATCTTGTCATTTGTTTTGCAATGTGGACAGGCTTGGCAGGCGGCCAGCCAGCCAGCTTCAAACATTGTGTGGACATTCCATGTCCGTATGTTTACTTTCGCTTTCATCAAGCTAGAGGGAGAGAGAGAGAGAAGACATACCGACAGTTGGGTTTTTGAAGGCTTTTGCCCACTGTCGTCATTTCATCTCCTTGATTCTAGCTTGAAATCAGTTTATTTTTCTTGTGCTTTGAAGTTTGTTTAGCGACTAGACTAGTTTTAGGGGGTAGAGTACTAGTCGTATGCCCAACCTTCCCTCTTTATCGGAATTGAGGACCGGCTAGTATGAAGTGAACTAGCTAACTAGGTGAGGTTATACGTTTTCACTTACAAGCTTTATTTAAAATTATGCAGAAAGTGTTCACTTATGGTACTAATGAACTCAAATTAACGTTGATATTTTCCATGGAAGACTTTCTGAATGCATGCTTACAGCTTGTGTGTGTCTGAGACGCATTGCGACCGCTCATTTGACCTAGGTATATGATGATGCACTTAAGTTAGCTAGTTAGTTAACTTTGCGATGATATTTAAAATTTTCAACCAGTGATGGTTATTTCGAAATCATATGGTGATTAGGATTTTGCCGACGATCATCCCACGTCGCCAGTGCTGAGTCGATGGACTTCGTAAACCAAAACTGGGCAAAAGATAAATTTATGTAAAATACTAAACATTGACAACTTAAACATGAATGTCTTTTGAAAATGATGTCTTTCGGTTGATAGAGGATAGAAATGTAGAGCACGATGACTTGGAGCCGGCCATTTGTCGGTTATCAATTGTTCTATGCCCAACCTTTTCTCTTTTTCCGAGCTTAGGACCGGCTCGTAACTAGTGTGCTAGTTATGTAGGCGATATATATGACTAGTGTGTAATTTCTCATGCCAGCTTCGTAGACTACTTTGCCTTATGCGCTTTGTTATTTTCTGTCCTTCCATTGTGACCTAGCATTCTTGAAAGATATAAAGGAGACAGCATCATCTAGTTTAAACGGTATTGGCTTGGCAGCATACATCTCGTTAAATTAAGAATTCGCGCTTATGCTTCTGTTTTTTTGTGTTCACCTTGGGGAGCATAGCGTCTAGTGAAAGTCGGAGTTTATAGCCAAGGGGTGCTTCTATAAGTGATGTATTGTTTAGAAGTGAAGGCGTCATTGTTGGTCTGTATGCCGACAAGGATTTCGAATTGTTTGTCCGATGTCTCATTTACTTTGTTGTTTTAACAGGGTTTATTTCAATATATTTAAAAAATATCGGCTTGACCGTGAGTTGAAGGTGAGCTTGCGGTATACGAATATGATTCATTTCATTGTCTTTACAAAAAATCTGCAAAATTATAAGGTGCGTTTTGAGTACGATTATCAGAAACAACAGTTTTTGGGATACCATACTGAACAAATTATCCGGATAACTTGCTTATGGTAATCAGTAGTCCTCTGTATGATGATCGATTCGGGTCATTTTAAATAGACATCAGCGACCATAAGAAAGTTATGTTCCTTCTTACGGTCCACCATAGTTGATATAAATCATCAGCCATGGAATATCTGTCGAAAGCCATTAAAATTCAAACTTTAAGAACAATTTTTCTGAATGAGCACAGTTGTCACAGACTTTCACTAGGCTTTCTATGTATCTGTCAATGAATAGCCAGTACATAAAACTGTGAGCTAACAACGACTTCATACGTGTTATCACCGGATGATGCACATGTAACTGACGTAGGACGACACTTTTTAAACCTGAAGGTTTGATTGTTCAGAAAATTCTCACCTCAGAGCAGTTGGCTTTGCGCACCATACAGATTATTTGTTTATTTATTTCATTATAAACTGAATACAACATGGGGACCAAGAAGTGCGTCACGTGACTTAACGACACCATTAATTCGAAAAAGAATAGAAGTACGAAAAAAAGCGGCCAGGGGACAATCGGCTTGATAGTATGTGTTCGAAGAAAACTTTCATTTGATTTACGTTAGTTTTCAAAAATAGAGAACACGAAAAAATTGAAGCGCGATCATCTTCAGTTTCTGTTGCCGAGACGTATCTGATATCAATCATCTAAAACCACTGAGGTTCACGATCTCTCAACATCCATCTAAATAGTCATGTGGCACCAACTGATGCTAATCCAACACATCTGTCCTTTACCCCACAGCGACAAGTCATACATTAACAACCTTCCTGTTTCTTCTAGTCAATCTTAGATTTATCTAACAGCAAATGACATGAAGGCTATCGGAACACTATTCATAACACGTATCCAAGCCACCGAAACCGATGTTTCAAGATGGAGTCACTCAGTTAGTGATGATCTCTGTCACACTTAAACACTTCCGTCTCGCATTTCAAACAAGCGATTCCTCGGAGACAACGATAATCAAAATGCAGATTTAGTGGACCAATTTTGTACATATGTATGACAGTACTACCTGCACTGATTCATTTCATGCCCGGTCTTTTAGAAGTAGGTTAGCATCGTAACGTAATCAAAGGATACGCAGATTGATATATGGTCGGAAATCTGATCTGCCATGTCTTAACGTTATTTGTTGTTATAAGCATTTACCATTTTTAGTGTAAATCCATTGCATTCACTTTGAGTTTTTATTTATTTGCTTTGTTTTTATTACCGCATCTAAAACACTGATTAACACTGTATTGTCTATTTTATTCTTTTTGCTTATTTGTAGAACTCTGAGCATAATTCGTGTTGTGTTCATGTTTGTAAGTTGAATTATTGTTGTGTTGTGTATTTTGTTTTCTCTATCGAAATGATATGATGCTATAATACTCATAACTTACCAGGTGACTTTAGTTTCTAAACTTAAAATTGGAATGTCGAATTTCACTTCATTGTTTCAACCACCTACACAACACAACTTCTGCATAATTAGATATCTGGTTAAGAATGACATTTTTTTAATGGTTTTCTAGGAAATATCAAAATGTATAGCTATTATTTTTGTATAATTAACTAATAAGGCTAAAGAAGAACTGATGACGTTTCACTATTGAAAGTTGTTTTGTTTTTTTGATGATTCTCTCAAGTATCGTTACAGATAATTTTCAGAAGTTTGTATTGAATCTCAGGGAGAACCGTCTGCACTCCATCAACTCTTCCTTTAATATTGTAGTCTGTTTGTGAATCGTCAGCCGGATGTACCTGCACCTCAATGAGTGATGTTGCCGCTAAAACTCGAACTCGGGACTGGTCGCCTGAAATGTCAAAACGTTATTCACTAGACCGCTGAATACCTTGCTTCGAACCTAGATGAGGTTTTTTAAGAAACAATCCTATCGAAAATTACCATCTCTCCCACCGATTCCCAACTGTATTACTCTCAGTCTTCAGTCATCGGTTTTGAATTTTTTAACAGCGTATCATAATTCCCTATATGTCTTAGGCCAACAGTTGACGACTAGCTGTCTTAACATTTGAAATAAAAGCATGTGATCATTTCAAATTATGACAGAGAGATCTTGAGAGAGTGACCTTAAAGACCACCCGAGCAAATACTGAAATAACGAATCACGTTTCGGTATTTCAACCGAGAAGGTAGTGTTTCACAGAATAGAGAACGGTAATTGTTTATCTCAGTAGATGTCAGGATTATCCTGTAAAGTCACTCAAATCTCGGTTGGCTACTAATGTTGTAAAATGTGAACAGAGATCTGTCTCACATTCATCCACTTAATGTGCGTAATATATATAATCAATAGCAACATATGACCAGGCATTACTGCATAACAGTTCAACTTGCCATACCTCATGATCAGCACGCCAAGTAACAAAGCTATAAGATGAAAAATGAAGAAATAAAGAGGAATCAATCAAAAGCAGTAAAGGAGAGAAACGAGTGAGAAAATGTTAGATTCCGTATAAGCATTAAGATGAAGATACTGAGTGGAGGCATCTGCGCCACAGATCGGTTCTGAGCCATGCCACCTAGATTCTCCAACCATTAGTTTCCGTTGTCATACGGACCTCAACCGGTAGGACTGTATTCCCCTACATATCTCAGATCAATAGTCAAAGAATTTATGGACTGTTGGCATATTTTAGACTGGCTGCCTCGTGCCTTTTTCCAGCTTAAACCTATTTCAGGTGACATTAGGCGACTAGGCAAACGGTGATGAGACATGCGTAACCCCATGCCACACGCACCTGAGTCGATTGAGGTTCACAACCTCATCGACTGACTTTCCTCTCCTTTCTAAAACCCTGCGCCTAACATATATTTATTTATATACTTGGTAGATGTCACAATAATGCGTCACTGCACAATACCATTGTTCTCAAAATCACTGTTAGAGTCTTAACGAGAAAGTCGGGAAAAGTCAGTATGAACTAACAGGACATTCTAAATTTGGAGAAAGATATGTAATTGACTTGCTACTTTGAATTGCATTGCATTCATTTCACTAAGTTGACTATTATGAAAAGGATACGAGAGGTAAATACTGAACATCGACTAATTTCGGTAGCAATCTCAGCTATCTATTTGGGCCTAAGTTATTCAGCATTATGTATAAAGGGACTAATAAGAAGACAATGAAGTTTTAATTGGCATTTATTATATTATTATTTGTCCCTTGGGTTCCTAATGGAACATAGGGCTTCAGTAGCACGTCTCCATTCCATTCTGTTCTCTGCAAACTTTTGAACCTCGCTCCACGACAGCCCAGAAGCTCTCATGATCTCCTCCATGTCACCCTCGGACGTCCAACTCGTCGCTTTCCATGGGGGTTCCACTCGAGTGCCTGGCCTGACACGTGATGTCCCCAGTCAGCCTTCTCAGTGTATGCCCAATCCATCTCCACTTCCCTCCAGTGCATGTTTGTTCAGTGATAGGTTGTTGGTTGGATCGTTGCCAGAGTTTGTTGTTGCTGATTGTTATTATTCTAGCCATCTGGTCTTCAGTAACGAGCCAGCATAGACAGTTGTTGATGAATGTCTGTAATTTGTTGGAAATGCTTTTCGTAACGCGCCAAGTCTCTCAACCATCACATAGAAGCACTGACTTGACGTTGGTGTTGGTGTTGAAAACCCGGATGTTGTTCCACGTGCTGAGTGGAGTGCAGAAGATCTACACACTGGTTTCAGATTAATGAACTCCTGTCTTCCATTTCTGATCCTGACTGGCTTTGACGTTTTCGTCCATGCCGCTGCCTGTAGTTGAAAGAGTGCTGCCTAGATAGGTGAAAGGGGCTACTTCCTTTAAGTTTCTCCCGTTGATGGTGATTGGAGTTGGTTATTGTTGTTGTTGCTGGTGGTGGTGTTGGTTGGGTATCTTCATCACCTCTGTCTTCTCTACATTCACCTGAAGTCCCGTCTTAGCTGCCTTGCCTCGCCTCGCCTCTTCTGTCAACTTGTTAATTTTTGACTGTAGATCTTCTAGTTTGGGTGACATCAGACACAAGTCATCGTTGGCGAAATCCAGATCTTCTAGGTTCTTTTCTGCAGTCCAGCCAGCGCATCACCCTCTTCTCGCTCCTCACTGTTTGTTGCATGATCCAGTCCAGTCAACCACAATCAGGAATATCATGGGTGATAGTAGACAGCCTTGTTTTACTCCTTCTTGTCTTCTTCACTTCACTTCAAAGGGATAACTGAGCTTCCCATTGTGAATTACTTGGCTGGTATGTGGCGTCTTCATATAGTTGTTGAGTGAGATTGATAAAGGTTTGTGGTATACCGTAGTGTTGAAGTAGTTGACTGCCAAATTACTTGTTGGTTGGCGCTGTCGAAGGCCTTTTGAAAGTGGATGAATTTGAGGTGAGGTATGGGGTTGACTGCCATTCTATACTCTGTTCTATGATGATGCATAGTGTAGCGTTGAAATTTGGTCCACACATAATTTGTACTTTTTGAATCAAGCCAGCCTGTTGTGGTCTTAGTTTTGAATCCGGCGCATCCTTTAGTCTCTCCAGGATGAGGATTGGCATTTACCCTAGAGTTAACTACTAAATCAACCTAAAAGGCAGTTTAGTAACTTTTCTTAACTAATCCTAATCAATAAGGAACTTAAAGTTCTGCCAACTAGAAGCTGTGTTTTTACTGTTTAGGGGTTAAACTTAAACAATTAGAAACTGTAATGGAGTTTTGGAATGTAATACCATACAAATGGTAGGACTAATCCGTACATCAGCAACTCAGAACTGTGGAAGTTTACCTGAGTAGACATCCGTTACCGCCAACAGAAGGCTAGAATAAACAAAAATCATTGTGGAGTAATAAAGTATGATATATAATTCTAACTGATAAAAGTAGGTGTAGACCATTCTCTTGCTAGCAAGACAGAGGTTATCTGAACACTGCACTGTTGTTTCAAATCGAGCTGTGTGAACTGCATCAATCTCGGCACACAGTTGATGAGCTTCACTGAGGAGTTTACAAACACTCATATCAGTCAATCAGTAATATATTTCCTACAGGTTTCATACAGTCAGCCATGATGCTATCTCTATAGCTGAATACATCACACATTTTGTCTAATTGTTTTGGTTTTCATAGTAAACTAACTAGAGTGAAGTTTCACAATTGTCTCTCACCTGATTTATGTTATTTTCATCACTGACTGTGTAGTTCCCAAACACCTGATTTAATTTTACGTAACTAAAAAGTAAGAGGTTTGATTATTACTCGTAGGTTAGCATTGGTTTCACTAGAATAAATATTTAGATAAAACGTACTTGATGTTTGAAGTGGTCGAGTGAATAATAATAATAAATACGCGGACGGTAATAACGCGATGAGACACTCAGACTGTATGCAACTAGCGGCTGTTTCCCCCAAAACCTTATACTCCACTGAGCCACAAAAATCAGAAGACAAAGACCGACTTGTGACTCTAAGGAAGACACTCTATTCGACAAAAATACATCATTTATATACAGTTCTCATGAGAATATAAAACCATTAGGTCGAAAGTTAGATACCTATTTTGATTGGTTCATTGTAGGACAGATTGTCCAATGAAAGTCTTCCTGCCCCTACAGTAAAATGAAACGAAAGTTGAAATCCAATACTTCTATATTAGCGGGCGTTGACTTAAAATGTTGATTTTCATTATTAGGCCGCTTCCTATCAATGTTCAAGGACATGTTATAGACACAAAGAAATATAAAATAGGTAGTATTTGGAATCCTTAAGTGAAAACTACATAACACTTGCCTCATTTTATGGAAAATTAAAAAAACACAACTAACTTTATAGTTCTATTAAAGTTCGTTTTTTTTTAAAAACAAAAAATCTACCACTGCAACCTATACTAAACATATGCAATCACTAAAAAGTTGGTAGATATCATTGCATCCACTGAGAAGAGGGATATGTGAAATTAGTGTCAAATTATACTTCAATTCACTGATAATTTTATAGCAAACTAGTGAATATAAATACATCTGAGATATGTCACTGAACTTCTCTGTAATATCTCAAGAATTCCTAGTATAGTTCAAACCATTAGTCGTTTGTTTCATGTATCGTTGTCTTATTCATAAAGGCGAAGTGGAGGGTTTTTTTCGCCTGCATTTATTAAGGTTTCTACAAATCATACTACAGTGGAACCAGTTGTTATGTAATACTTTTAAATCTTCACTGAACAGACGCTTTTTAATAAGTAAAACGTTTATCAACAAATGAGCGAACAGTTATTATCAAAAACTGAATAGAAGCCCAAGAGAATGCAGGACAAATGATGTATTATTATTATTATTACGTCACAATATGGCGTGTTTTCGAACTACTTCTTACCTTCCATTTGTTTTTTCTTTGTAGGGGGGTGGGGTGGGTATCTAGAACAAGTACATTCATGTGTATATCACTCAATCAGTATAAAAATAGGACCGAGCATTAATGCGTAATGGTCCAAGTGGCCACACCTCATATCAGCACAACTACTAACAAAGTAGTAGAATTAAAGATGAAGAAAGAGACAAAAATCAGTCAAAAGGAGTAGAAAGCAATAAAAGAGAGGAGGGAGAAATAAGAAAATGCTGAATTTAGTGTAACGATCAAGATGAAAATAATGTGAGATATATCTCCACCACTAAGATCGATTTTGAGCCATGTCACTTTGCAACCATTGATTTCGATTACTACTTGAACTCTAATCATGTGAATGTATATATATATGCCTAGATAATTTGTTAGTAATCTTAGTAACAAGAAAACTTTCCACTTTCTAGTTACGCTTTCCTAATAAGTTGGTCATATACAAATCATAACGGTCATCATGAGATTTTAACACTGCTAAGATAATCTTGTATGTTATGCATATTGTTGTTATAAGTGGAACTGTGGCTTATTGGTCTAGCCACTTGATTTCTAACCGATGGGCCACAGGTTCGAATCCAACTCCACTTAATGGAGTTTCAACAATTAGGTAGTAAGTATCATTAGACCTTACGCCAATAGTAATAGTTCGTTGCCTACCTCACAAATGTGTACAAGCTTGTTGAAAGCATTTTGACTGTTATTTAATTATAGAAACCTTTATGTACACTAAATTTAAAAAAAGTATTTTTGAAGAGTAAAGCCTATTTTGTTTTATTTATTTATGTGTTTATTTTTCTATTGTTATTTTAGTGTCTGCAAGCGCTCCAACTACAAATTACTCATTGAATTCTCTTATTAATTTATCAAAGTGTAGCAGGGAAACAGCTTCTTATCATAATAATACTATTGTTGATACAAATTATCCTAATACCAATCTTCCATCAACAAAGTGTACATTCACTCCATCGTCTTATTCATTCAGTTCTTCAATGGACAAACCTGATCATGACTGTGATGATAAAGATGTTGTTGTTAGTGGTAGTGGTGATAACAGCAGTCATCATATAAATATCCGTTCACCAAGTACATTTGTTAATCATTCGGGTATAATGTCTAAAACAATTTGTTCTTCTTATTCCTCGTCCTGTTGTTGTTGTTTTGGTGCTGGTGGTGGTTTGTGTTTTTGTCCTTCTTGTTGTTCATGCTGCCTGTGTCGAGGGAATAATCATTCACAGCCTCCATTACAACATCGTTTACCAGCAAAACGCGCCTGTCGATCAACCAGTTCTAGTTCAGATATACCACAGTACACCTCTTCATCATTATCTTCTTCGTCTTCCATGTGTGGTTATTACAGTCGTCAGTGTCCTTTTACTTCAATCCATCTTCCACATCGTCATTGTCATCAATGCTATCAGCAACCTACCACTAGTAGTAGCGGTAGTAGTCATGGTCACTACCATTGTCATCATCGTCATGATAACAGCACCTGTCATAACAGTAATCATATCATAATGATGAGGACAATGCAGTCTTACATCAAAAATCTTCCTCGTCCAGTTGCTGTACGATTAGATTCACAAGCAATCTATCATGCAAAGTCAAAAAGTTGCACAAATATGAATGTTGTAAAGTCATCAAATCTTAATGACAATAATAATAATAATAATAATAATGGTGATGATGATATTAGCAACGATAGTACCTTGCGTAATAATAACAGCGGTGTTATCTTACGCCCCAAACCTTCTGATTTAATATCGTTCAATAAAATTGGTAATACCGCCCGTCTTAGCTGGCATCATCCTTTGTTCAACTTTAGTTCTGTCCTCCATCAAGGGAAACATAGTAATAATAATGATAATAATTTATCTCTACAAGTCCAATCTAACACTTCAACGCTTCAACATGATACTTCCTTAGAAAGCCAACAAACATGCACAGATTGTTCACAAAATGTTCAGAAATCGGTTCGTCTGCGGAATGCAAATACTCGTGGAAGTACTACTACTACTACTACTAATAGTAATAATAGCTCGAATCCGTGTGATCGTGTTTCAACATTTCGTCCTCCTAATCACATTGAAATTAAAGGATCACAGGACTCTGCATTATCAATTCACGCACTGCCTAGGTAAGTAGTATTTTAAAATTTTCTCTCTAATCTCCTTATTCTTCTGTATATTTTCTAGAAATCGTTCCTTTACTTGTTTACTGCCTGTCCTCTTCGTTGAATTGTAAACACTAAGAATATATATTCACTTTACAACTATGAATGCCTGTAATCTGTGTATCTACCTGAAGGGAAGCTAAGAGTGGTCAGACCATGAGATGACAGCAGTCCACTATGTTGTTGAATCTCCCTTTATACTGCACTGTCTGCATCAGCATTAAAACTATGCTGGTCACACAAAAAGTGGCTATCGTCACTCGGTGACCTAGTGGATAGTGCTGTGGGGTCTGAAGTGACCAATTTCAAGTTTTGGTCTTAGTGGTAACAAAATCACTCACTGGGACGCAGGCACATCCAACTAACGAGTCCCAAACGGGAAGAAACGCGCGTTCTGGATTCTACTGCTATCCACTATCCATCCAGTCTAAATCGATGTCTGGAGAATTTAGGAGATAGTTGTGGACACATTCATGTATTTTCGTTATCTAATTAGTTATGTAATATGAATCTTCACTTCTGTTTGTCTCATGGCATTTGATGACTCTGAATGTCATTATCATTATTATCAGAATGTTATCGTTGTTTTCATTTCACTGTGTTCCCTGTTATCCACCTTTCCTTTAATATGTTCATTTGAATTCTTGTCAACTTTGCTTGATGTGCAGTCCCATCAAGTCTTATTTCTTAATTCTCTTTCTGTCATTTTTATCTCCTGGGATAGGGAGCGTAAAATATTTTCTACACTTTCATTGTTGATTCTTGGGTTTTCTTTTGGGCATATCTTTCAATTTAATGTTTATCTTCGTAGTCAGTATCAATCCGACCAACCAATCAGTCACTCACTTGATCGTGAAGCGAAAAATTAGAAGCTGATGCAGTCGTTTACAAGTTTAGACTCCCATTCTTCACGCCAATACGCTGAGGTGCAGTTGTAGAATTGCTGCTCATTGGTTTAGGGAGTTGACTTTCAACTAGCGGGTTACAGGTTCGAGTACTGCTCCACGTAACGAGGTTTGCGCAGCCAGGTAGTATCATTAGCCATTACACAACAGGTATGGTTCATCGCCTGCTCCATGAATGTGCACAAGGTTGCTGACTGGGTTTTGATTTCTTTTTTTCGAGGTGCAAATCAACAAACAGAAATATCATGCAAAACATATGTGAAATTTCAGCTTGGATATAGAAGGCTCTTTTGGCATCTGCCAGTTTGCGTCATCTGTGGCGCCAGCGATTTATCCGACTATCCAATCAAGGAGAAGTATACTGCGCTGCAGTCCGTTCTGTCCTGTTACATGGCTGAGATATAGTCATTTAAAACTAAAAGACATGAAGCGATTACAGGTTTGCGATCACCTATTTTTATGTAGCATTGCTTGCATTAGTTCGAATCACCGTGTCAGTTATGTTGAGGTCAGGTGAATAGTACTAGGCAAGACAGGCAAGTCGATTGATCAGCTTGTCAACCTGCATCGACTGGTGCGGCGTAGACATGTGTTCCTCATGCCGAAACTCAATATACCTCGATGTTCCATCCTAGAGGAAACTAGATTAGGTTGGAAGAGAGTTCACGGTGGCCAAACGAAGACATCACCACCAGTGATATCTGAAAATTAGTCGAAGTGGTGTAGATATATTCACTCTTTGATATCTTCTTAAACTTGAATATTCGCACTAACCTTTATCTTCAAATTGCCTTTTCTCTCACACAACTTTGTCTACTTTGACATCACTCTTTTCTGTCCACTGCTATGAAGTGTGGCATCTTGAACCGATACACTTGTGTGCGAGGTTCTTCTTTAATTCTCTCTTTCTATCCGAAATATATGCGAATATCAGTAGTTATACAACACTGCAGAATGAAGGTGAACGGAGATGAAGAGTATTAAAATGTAAATCAAGTGTAAAACATCAGCAATACATCTGTCAACAGTAAAATTAGTTTTTTTTCGTGTCACTTGTAGTCTTGAACTTAAAATATAAAAAAACTGCATGTCCTAGTTGCCACATTCTGAACCAACCTAATTCCTTCTCTAGTTAGCGTACATTGGGTCTGCAAGCCCCACCCTCATATCTTAGTCACCTCAGATCATAACAATTCAATACTGCACATTTAATTTCCGCATTATAATGATAAGACGGCGGTTGTCGTCGAATACCTATAACCTTCACATTCTCCATAGTCTGAAATAACTGTACCTACGCATCTTTAGAGTACAAATTCAAAATAAACACCAATCTGGTTATATATATATATATATATATATATATATATATATATATATATATATATATATATATATATATATATATATATATATATATACGATGTTTTTCACTGTAACTAACCAGTTATGTAATCAATAACCGATTGACTTGTTTGCTGTATTTCTAAAAATCAATAACACTGAACACCTATCATTTCAATTGCTTGATTTTTTTTACTCTACCATAGTGAATAAATTCTATTCTTATTATTTGACGACTTTATTTACCTCTGTCGGTTTAGTTTATCTTTATCACTTAGATTGCATAATGCATATTGTTTAGTATCATATGACTGACCAATTTTTGTATTCCTAAACTCATTAGGACTTCCCATTATTCTCAGTTGGTATATGGGAAAAGAGAGAAGACGATTGAGGTGAAGAGAAATTTTTCCTCCCGAAGAGATTACTCTTTTATCTGTACATTCGTGAATATGCAGTAGACACGATAGAGCAGTCCAGGGCTATTTCTGATCAGAAGTAGAGGTAAATTGCATGACAAAGGAGAGTTGCGTAATATCTATAGGTTTTTAAAATGAGGTAATAAACAAACGATTGCAAAATAAGATCAAGTTACGCTATAAGGAATTTTTCTAGAGTGAATGATCTACGATGACCATGGCAAAAAAAGAGGTTTTACATACTTCTTTTGAACGTATAATGATGGTTTGAACTTTTCAATTACTAATGCTTCAGCTATGTCTAGATGTCTTAACCGTACTTCTTTCAAGTGGCTTGGTCCTGCTTTGCGCAAAATTTTGAAGGATTTATCAAAAGAAGCCAGATGTCTTGAGTTTAGAAAGTTTTCTGTGAAAGCCCTGAAGACACATTTCTGTACTGTTCTTGTGAATCAGGTTGGGTACTGTTTACGAGTGCGTCTCACAAACTGGCGCACCGTAATGGTTGATGTACACACGTTGATTTTCCTCAATGCTACAACTTACTCTTTGTGTACTGATGAATGAGTTTGTGGGAGGAAAATATCATCCTATGATTGGCACCAAAGAATGTTTTTTTGTGGACGTTTATAGTCTCTTTCGAAGTATATCTGCCGCATTATCTCCTATGAATTCGAGTTTCAACAGTTAAATGTTTTTCGGAACAGTATGCAAGCGTTTCGTAACGTTTTTCGACCTTTAAATCCTATTAGGTATCTATTTTCCACAGAATTTCTCACAAGTTTTTAGTTCATCATTGATGGTATCTTCCATGCATATTCTCCGTATTCTTGATAGGATACCTCTTTCTGTTTAAGAGGTAACAACTGTAGAAATTAATAAACTGCCCGATACAAGTGGGCTTTCTGTAAATAGATCTCTGGACTGAACTTTCATCTTTTCTTTGACGCTGATAAGGGGATCAAGTGCTATCGATTGGAAATTACTTTAGAATGTTCTGTCGTTTCTACTATATACTTACGAATGTACAGCTAAGAGGATAAGTTTTTCGAAAGGGAAACGTTTTCGTAGCAATCATCTATCTTTTCCTATGGTCAAATGGATTTGTTTTCAGATTGGTTAATGTCACCTAGTTTTTATAGTCTTGGACGATTGGTTATTGTTACTAATTAGGATATTAGGACGATTGCTCGCCGATAGCATTAGATGACATCAGCGTCATATTGTGATGAAAATTTGGACTATTTGATTCATTGGCTTAGGGTTTACTTGCTCACTGTGAAACCTGATTGTCCTAGGCACCATCCATCTTAGGGTCATGGGAGTACTACTGCTGAAGAGTCTCAAACAAAGACTAAATAGCTGTCCAATGTCCCCAGATTTCTACTAGTTGTCTAGTTAACGTCAATCTATAATGAAAAACCGCTTGATTATCAATAGTATTTAGAATAAGTATCGGTAGTGGAACCACTCTGTATTGTACATTAAAGGATGGTGTTCAATCGATCTTCAGTTTTATACTTATCATCTTGTTCCATTTTGTCTTTGAAGTAAAGTCAATTTTAAGGCCATTTGTCAGTTAAAAGCCATTTTCCTTTTGTAATATACTAAGTGTATCACAATCAATTATCATCCCGTAAAGCATTTTCGGAAAATACAAAGCCAAAGTGAAAACTTGGATAAAGTTCTACCGATATGATACTATACAATTTCATTGGAATCAGTTTCCACTAGCACGATGCTATTTCCATCTTTTATGGATTCATGTTTTTGTTTATAACTTCACACTTACTCAGAACTCTGTATTCACTTTATTTCTGTCGGATTTATTGTGTGACATTATAGTAATTCAAAAGGGTTTCCTATTGTTTTGACTAAAGTATAAGTACCACCTAAAATGCTTGAGTTTTGAATACCTTTGGGAAAAATATCAGTTTAAAAAACCAGTTGTTTCAAAGTAGTTTTCACCATAGATTGGTATCAGTTGGAAATTGGTTGAAAAACTAGAAGCATTTGAAAACTGTTTTGTCCCAATTCGCAACTCTTCACCAGTATGCATCCATGACTAGGAAAAAATTGCTATCCAGTCCCCTCACGTTCTCAATATTTCCCTATTTAACATCAGTTTGTGATGAAAATTGCTTTGAAGTTAATCAATTTGTGGAGGTGATTATTTGTTGTTTCGACCATCCAAGATAGCTTTCTTCTCGTAGACTGATTTTAGTAGAATGGGAGTAATGATTGAAACACCTGGATCACTTAGCTTTATGGACAACAGAACACCAAGCTAATAAGCTTG